CGTGACCTGCCTGGGCAGCGAGACCTCATCTCTACAAGAAATCAAAAAATCAGCCAGGCATGGTAGCACATGCCTATAATTCCGGCTACTCGGAAGGCTGAGGCGGAAGGATCACCGGAGCCCAGCAGGCGAGGCTGCGGTGGCCGGGAGCGGCCACTGCACTCCAGTCTGGGCAACAGAGTGAGACTCCAACTCAAAAAAAAAAAAAAAAATGAATTTGGAGCCAGGCACTGTGGCTTACACCTATAAAGCTCTTTGGGAGGCCAAGGTGAGAGGATTGCTTGAGCCCAGGAGTTTCAGACCAGTGTAGGCCAGCATAGTGAAACCTTGTTTTGACAAAAAAAAAAAATTAGCCATGTATGGTGGCATAAACCTGTAGTCTCAATTACTTGGGAGGCTGAGCAGGAAGGCCACCTGAGCCCAGGAGACTAAGGCTGCAGTGAGTCGTGATTATGCCAGAGGGAGACCCTGACTCAAAAAATAATAAGGGCCTCACTTCAGATCTGTCAACAGGAGAGACCTGGAAATCTGAATTTTTAACCATTTCCTATGGTTCTCTTCATTGAAAAAGGACTCTAAATATAAATCCCATTTAGTTTCTGGGATTTTGACTAGATGGTGAGGAGGATTTAGATTAAGAATGGGAAAGAAAGTGCAAAAGAAAATGATGATGAAAAAGAGAATCTGAATCAGTTACCGTAATTCAGATTTCATCATTTACCTGGATCTTCTTTCAGAAAGTGGATTGGAGCCAAAATGGAAAGGGCCTTGGATGACTGGATAAAGGTTTTTTGGATTTCATTCTGTACCACTAAGCTGTAGTTCTATCTGTAGATATAGTCACCTAAAAGATCAATGCTTAGCTGAGCTCGGTGGCTCACATCTGTAATCACAGCACTTTGGGAGGCAGAGGTGAGAGGACTGCCTGAGCTCAGGGGTTCGAGACCAGCCTGGGCAACATAGTGAGACCTCATCTCTACAATAAATCAAAAAATTAGCCGGACCTTGTGGCACACGCCTGTGGTTCCAGCTACTTGAAAGGCTGTGGCAGGAGGATCACCTGAGCCCGGCTGGTTGAGGCTGCAGTGCCACTGTATTCTGGCCTGGATGATAGAGTGAGACTCCAACTTAAAAGAAAAGGAAAAAAAAAAAAAAAAAAAGGACCAGTGCTTGATTAGAGGGTTGGGACTTTGAGCTCCACCCCCAAACCTCCAGGAGAGGAGAGAGGCTGAAGGTTAAGCTGATCACCAGTGGCCAATGATTTAATCAATCATGCCTAGGTAATGAGGCCTCCATAAAAACCCAAAGGGAGTGGGTTCAGAGAGCTTCCGGATAGCTGATCAAGTGGAGGTTTCTGGAAGGTGGCATACCTGCGGATGGCATGGAACTTCAGCTCCTTGCCCCACACCACACCCTATACCTCTCTTCTCTTGTATCCTTTAAAATAGTCTTAACAATAACTGGTAAGTAAGTGTAACCCTGAGTTCTGCGAACTGTTTTAGGAAATTAATCAAACTGAGGAGGGAGGGGGGTTGTGGGAACCCTGATATAGCTGGTCAATTGTACCTTGCGATTGGCATCAGAAGTAGGGGGCAGTTTTGTGGGACTGAACCCTCAACCTGTGGGATCTGACAGTATCTCCAGGTAGATAGGTAGTGTTGTAATTGAATTGGAGGACACCCAGCTGATGTCCATTGCAGAATCAACAACTTGGTTGTTGGTGTGGAGAAATCCACACACGCTTCTTGGTGACTAGAGGTCGCAGCAATGATTTGTGTTGTGGGAGTATCATGGTTTATTTATTTCTATATTCTCAGACCTACCTGCCCATGTGTGTAGATAACTATTTGCAAATATTTTTAATTTAAACTATCCTAACCCAAATAAAACGGACAAGTACCTTAAAAGGAGTTGATGATAAAAAAAATTAGCTGGGTGCAAACGAACAAGATAATGGTCAAACTTGATGTTTACTTCTAATGTAAACTGTCAGCCATGTGACAAAGCAGAAACAGTGATATAATCTGACAAGAGGTCGCCCCTCCCAAAAAATTGTTATTAAAAGGATAATTTTGAATATGGATTTGTATCTATTGTTATGTATGGGCATATAGTATCCTAAATATAGTGTATTTTGGAATGCTAAAATAGTAATAGGGAGATGCTACACTTCATTTATTGCTTATTTTATCTTTTTTTTTTTAAGCAGGCTTTATTAAGAGGACAGAAAAGCTCCCACAGTGAGAGGGAACTGGAGGGGGTTATCCATATTTTATCTTTATAAAAACTTTTTCTCAAGCCTCTAATCCCAGCACTTTGGGAGGCTGAGGCGAGAGGTCTGTCTTAGCCCAGGGGTTTGAGACCAGCCTGGACAACTCAGCAAGACCTCGTCTCTGCAATAAATTAAAAAACAAAAAATTAGCTGGACTTGGTGGCATGTGTCTGCGGTTCCATATTCTTGGAAGAATGAGTTGGAAGTATCGCCTGAGCCCAGCAGATTGAGGCTTCCGTGGCCGTGAGTGTGCTACTGCACTCCAGCCTAGGCGACAGAGCAAGACTCCAACTCAAAAAAAAAACCAACCCTTTTTCTCTTTTAGTGTGTTTTATAATGCATTACTGTACTAATGTATTCGTGTATGTAATATATAAGTAAATTGAGGTACAGTCAGAAAGTTTTGGACATCACTGTTTATGAAGCTGTTTAGAGGATGGCCTAAGAAGATAACTCGGGGACCGAGGGGAATACAGGGAGCCGGAGTAGGTGCCTTAGTGCTTAAACCAGCTCTAACCAGAGTAGCTCTCTTTGTATCTTTTTTACATAGAGAGGTTCTTAGTAAAAATTTTGTTTGTGCCGGCTCAGTGGCTCAGCCTGTAATCCCGTGCTTTGGGAGGCCGAATGAGTGAATTGCCTGAGCCTGCGGGTTCGAGACCTGCCTGGGCAACTTGACAAGACCTCATCTCTACAATAAATCAAAAAAATGAGCCGGGCATGGTAGCGCGCGCCTGTAGCCCCTTGAAATCCTGGAAGCTCCTTGGAAGGCTGAGGCAGAAAGATCACCGAAGCCCAGCAGGTCGAGGCTGTGGTGGCCGGGAGCATGCCACTGCACTCCAGTCTGGGCAACAGAGTGAGACTCCAACTAAAAAAAAAATTTTTTTGTTTGTAAAAGGGATACTTCTGGTTTTTTTTTTTTTTTTTTAGAGGTTTGAAAACTTCTTCTGTAGATGATGGGAGCAACTGAAGGATTTTAAATAAAAGAGTGCCCTGATAAAATTTTAGAAGAACTCTGGTAGCAAATTTCTCTTCAAAAAAGCAGAGTCAGGAAGCGGGTAGAATTCAGATTTCTAGCTATTCTTACCTGTTCATACAGCAAATAAGAAGTATTAATCTGAGGCCTGGATTAATTAAAGGGTGCTTTTCATTTACTGTTTAAAGCTAAAAAGTACTAAAATATTTTCACTTTTACAATTTTGTCTGCAAATATAGAGCTCATCTTTTGTTTTATATTTCTTGTTTTTTGTTGTTGTTATTGTTGTTGTTTGGTTTTTTTTTTTCTTTTTTGCGTCAGAGTCTTGCTCTGTCGCTTGGCTGAATTGCAAAATCAGGTATGATCACAGCTTACCACCAAAGTCTTGAACTGGACTGAAGCAATCCTCCCGCTTCAGCCTTCCAAATAGCTGGAACTACAGGCACACACCACCAAACCTGGCTCGCTTTTACATTTTTTGTAGAGATGGAGTCTCATTATGTTGTCTAGACTGTTTTTGAACTCCTGGACTCAAGCAATCCTCTTGCCTCTGCCTCCCAAAGTGCTGGGATTACAGGTGTGAGCCACCATGACCAGCCTACTTATATATTTCTTACTACCAGGTCATAATATTTATAAGTACAAGTCAAGTGAACAAATTATTAAATATAAGGTACTTTGGAGATTATATTTTTAGTGGAGTATAAACTCAATTTATGCGTATTTTTTGAAAATAAAACCTTTAGCCATATTAAACTTACAGTATTGTGTCCTTAAGGAGTGTTTATTTTATTTGAGTATTGCTTAGTGGTTTTAAACAAGTGTGTGTGTGTGTGTGTGTGTTTGTATGTTTCAACTGAAATCCAAACCTTAGTTGCCTGTAGAGGGGTTGACACCTTTTCCTAAAAAGCATAACTACCTTTTGGTTGAGATATAATTGAGGACATCCTAGGAGAGTGCTTACTTGAACCTCGGGTTAATTTTTCTACAGTCTGGGATGGTGGACTAGGTACTATTGGTAGTACATGTAGATAGAGCGCATAGTTTCATTTTACCATTGTATTGTATTCTTAGGATCCTGAGGTCTTTTCCATATTTTTTTTTTTTACAAAGGCAACAATAGAAAGAGTTAAGCTTTGACCTGTTTTACCTATTTTTATGTATTGGTTAGCTTGCTTTTTTTTTTTTTAAGATTAGGAAGTAAATTTGAGAGAGAGAGAAAGAGGAGATTCACCTCCCCAAGGTAGGGGAGGGAGCCAAAGCCAGAAGGATGGCCTGGCCATAGCTCAAAGAGCACACTGCCACACCATAGCTTAGCAAGGCAGTGGCGGCTGGTTAGCTTGCTTAACCAGTTAACAATCAGCTCAAAAGGAAGGATAACCATATAGGTGGTTAGTAAATAGAACAGCTGATTTTCTAGAAACAACAGAAAGTAGATGGTTAGAATGTCTGCATTACAGTTTCAGCCAAGAATGGCTTGTCTTTTTTCAGATTATTTTGGTAACATGAGGCTACTAACCTGTTTTAAATTTGTTTGTTTTAGAAAATTGCTGAATGCCATTTTTAGTACCAAAGCTACTACTTCATTGTCAATATATTGCTAATAATAATGATTGAATATGCATTAATTGTAGTTGTTGGGGGCATTTGTCATTGCTGTGCTGTCTCCAGTCCTCTTGATTTTTATTTATACTTTGTGGTGTGAAGATATTTCTTTTCTAGCATGATGACGTAGAAATCTTTATTTTTAAACAGGATACATTAATTGTTTGGTCAGAAGCTGAGAACTATGATTTGGCTCTAAGTTTTCAGGAAAAAGCTGGCTGTGATGAGATCTGGGAAAAAATTTGTCAGGTAAGTTTCTTTTTATAATATTTAACTTATGTTTATATGCATTATTGAATTTTTGTTTCCTTTTTACTTCAAATATGTGTATTAGAACATAGAAAGATAATGTCTTATTGTGAGATTTTGATAACCTAACATGGAAATTATTAATATTCTATAGCAAATTTTTTTTTTTAATTATAAAGATGTGGGGTACAATTCAGGGTTACATATACAAACATTGATTATGCAGGTACCCTTGTTGACAGCAAATTCTTTTACTTAAAATTTAAGAAACAGACCAGGTGTGGTGCCACACACCTGTGGTCCCAGCTATTCAGTAGGCTGAGGTGGAAAGATTTCCTGAGCCCAGGAGATAGATGGAGGCTGCAGTGAGCTGTGATTGTGCCACTGCAATCCAGCCTGGGCGACAGAGTGAGACACTGACTTAAAAAAAAAAAAAATTAAACAAAAAAGCTTTGTCATAATTTTGTTTTACCACTTTAGATTTTGATAGCATATGTTAATAATACCCTGTAGAACTTAAACTAAAAAATGAATAAATAATTATGTTCAGGCTTTTTTTTTTTTTTATGTCTGGTCATGTGTTTTTCTAATGTTTATGAATACTGTACCAAGAACTAATAATTGAAAGTACTCATTATTTCAGCTTATGCAAAACTTATAGTGTAGCAGGATATATAGGATATGCAGTAACTTAGGTAACTAGAGTTTTGTTTTTGTTTTTTTAATTGCAGTCTCAATCTGTCATCCTGATTTCGTCTATATTCTCAAACACAGGAGTAGAATATAGAGGTGAAGGATAGCTCCGCACATTCACTTTTTTGCACATTAACTCAGTGTTTGAGCTTGACTTCCCATGATCTGGCTTCACTCTACATTTCTAGTTTTGGTGTTTGCCATATTCATGCCATATGTTTCCATCTCTTGACTTCTGTGCTGTTCTCCTTCAACTTTGAGTACCTTTATTTTATATCTGAATCTTACCCATCTTTGAAGACCCACCTGAGATCTCAGATGTCACTATGGTTCTTTTCCTGTACTCCCCTCAAATTCCCCCTTCCACCCAAGAACGTGAATGAAGTTCTTATTAATTCCCATGGCATTTTATCTGAACTGCTTTTATGACTTTGTTACTTGTACTTTCTGTTATGCATCAGTTTCCCTAAGCCAAGCTATGCTGTTGAGAACTCAGAAGTAAAACTAGCCAGGTGTGGTGGCTCACACTTGTAATCCCAGCACTTTGGGAGGCAGAGGCGAGAGGATTGCCTGAGTCCAGGGGTTCAAGACCAGCCTGGGCAACTTGGTGAGACCTCGTCTGTACAATAAATCAAAAAATTAGTTGAGTGTAGAGATGTGCGCCTGTAGTTCCAGCTACTTGGAAGGCTGAGGTGGAAGGATCACCTGAACCCAGCAGGCCGAGGCTGCAGTAGCCATGAGCATGCCATTGCACTCCAGCCTGAGCAACAAAGTGAGACTCTTACTCAAAAAATAAATAAATGAATAAAAGAAGTAAAACTAGTCTCATCCCTATAGTAAAAGGTATCTTGTATGCATCAGTATATCCATCTACTTCTTTCTCTAGGCTCTTAGATGTTTTTTCATGTATTGCTTTGGTGGATTTGGACATTTGTGAAACTTTTTCTGCTCAGGACATTTGGAATGTTTTGAGGTAGAGAAGAGTGAGAATAGTTCCACCCTTGTATTAGGAATTGGAAAAAAATATATTTTTACGCTTTATGTGATTTTGTTTTACTTATGGATGTTTTACTGTTTTTGAGTCATGGTCTTACTGTCACCAAGGCTGGAGTGCAATGATACCTAGCTCACCGTAGCCTCAACTCCCTGATTCTTCCACCTCCACCTCCTGGCTAGCTGAGACTATTGGTGCTACTTAATTTTTTGTAGTGATAAGATCTCGCTGGTCCCAGACTTGTGAGTTCTAGCAGTCCTCCCACCTCTGCCTCCCAAAGTGCTGAGCTACAGGCATAAGCCACAGTGCCCGACCTTTTTTTTTTTTTTCTGAGATAGTGTCTCACTGTATCACCCATGCTGGAGTGCAAGTGGCATGATCATAGCTCGCTGCAGCCTTGAACTCCTGATCTTCCCAGCTCAGCCTTCCAAGTAGCTTGGGCTACAGGTATGCGCTATTATGCCCATTAGAAAAATTTTAAGCAGAGTAAAGTTCTAAACATTTTTTGTTGGTGAATAGAGTAATTCATTATAAAACATTTATGTTGACCATTCTTACCTTGAGCTGTCAACTTGAATTATAAAATAGTTGTTAATTATGTTAGGATCTTTATCTAGGTATTAGAACTTGGAGGCTTTATCACAGATGTTAACTGAATGTCAATTTTTAAAAAATAGACTATTTTTTAGAGCAGTTTTAAGTTTACAGCAAAAGCAAATGTTTTTCCAAAAGTCACTTTCAAAAGTAATCTGAAGAAATTGTATATTTTCTCACTGAATATATGAGGAGTGGGGTTTCAGTTTGAACTCAGTGTCTTTGTCAAGTCAGTGTGATGATGTGATAGGTTGCTTTAAGAGTCACACATAGTGATTTGGGGGATAAGTAGAACAGTTACTTCCTGCAGCATTCAAAGTTGTTATATATAGTGAATTTAATAAACAACTCTTCATGGTTATTATATAGCATCATAAATCTATATAACATCAGCTGAAATATTAAGATTATCAGGGATCAGAGTTAACTTCAAGTTATAGGCTGAGAAATTTGTAGGTGAAATGATCTGTAGTCACCTGCTTAGACTAAAAAATCAACTCTAAACTTTGTATTTTGCCCACTTGATTTCATTTTTAATTAGCAGAGACTAGTTTAGTATTCCTTGCAAGGTATTTTTACTTAAATTCAGTGGTCAGTGGTTTGATATCCAAAATGTTGAATTCTTTTGTATTTTAAGGTAATTATCTGTACTTGGATATTTCTAGGTTCAAGGTAAGGACCCCTCAGTGGAAGTCACACAGGACCTCATTGATGAATCAGAAGAAGAACGATTTGAAGAAATGCCTGAAACTAGTCATCTGATTGATCTACCTTCGTGTGAACTTAATAAACTTGAAGAGATTGCTGACTTAGTTACCTCAGTTCTCTCCTCACCTATCCGTAGGGAAAAGCTGGCTCTGGCCTTGGAAAATGAAGGCTATATCAAAAAACTACTGCAGTTGTTCCAAGCTTGTGAGAACCTAGAAAATACTGAAGGCCTACACCATTTGTATGAAATTATTAGAGGAATCTTATTCCTAAATAAGGCAACTCTTTTTGAGGTAATGTTTTCTGATGAGTGTATCATGGATGTCGTGGGATGTCTTGAATATGACCCTGCTTTGGCTCAGCCAAAAAGACATAGAGAATTCTTGACCAAAACTGCAAAGTTTAAGGAAGTTATACCAATAACAGACTCTGAACTAAGGCAAAAAATACATCAGACTTACAGAGTACAGTACATTCAGGACATCATTTTGCCCACACCATCCGTTTTTGAAGAGAATTTTCTTTCTACTCTTACGTCTTTTATTTTCTTCAACAAAGTTGAGATAGTCAGCATGTTGCAGGTAAGTAAATATTTTTCACAATTGTTTTTCATAAGTTTTTTTCCCTAAATAGTTAACTGGTCTTTATGCCCTCTTTTTTGTTTTTCAAAGATTTTTATATGTTTGTTTATTTTAAATGTACTCTGATATAGAAAACAGGATGTTATCTTGTGGCTATAATGCAACCTTTCATATTTTTAAGTTGTCTGTGATGGAACTGGTTTGTTAAATTTAATTTTTAAAAACTTGAGGTAGAATATACATAACATAAACTTCACATTTTAACCATTTTTAAGTGTACAATTCGGTGACATTAAGTACATTCACAGTGTTGTGCAGCAGTAACCACTTTCCATTTCTAGAACTTTTTGTCATCCAGAATAGAAACTCTATACCCATTAAATAGTAACTCCTAGTGTTCTCCCTCTAGCTTTTGGTAACCAATGTTCTACTTTCTGTCTTTGTGAATTTGCCTATTATGGATACTGATGATGCAGCTTTTTTTTTTTTTAAAGAACACTCTCCATTTATTAAACATGGTTTTTTTTTTCTGTTTCACCACACCCTCCAGAAAAAAGAAATGGGGCTGAGAGTGGAGAAAAGGGGACAGGGGTAGGGGTGGGGGGTTGCAGCTATCTTAAAAAGTATTTTAAATTCCATTTGAGAGATAGTTATTATTGGGGTATGTCTGATTATGTGTACTTAAAGCTTCCCAGATAATTCAGATTGCAGCCCAGATTGAGAAACACTCAGTAATTTTCAGGAAATGATAGTCACATTATTTGCTTTGTGAAGTTCATTTTATTCTGTCCCCTTGAGTTATAAAAGTGTTTCATACCATGTTTATCATATTAATCCTTTATACCCTAATAGTATAGTAAGCATGCTTTTGAAGAATTTGTGTTATTTATGTTATTAGAGTATATTCAGTTTTCTAACTGCTTTTGTTATTTCTCTATCAGTCAGTTTATTGAGCAGCTACTATATACTTAATATTATGATTCTTAGAGTGTGGTCTGTGGACATCTGGAGGTCCCTGAGACCTTTTCAGAGGAGTCTATGAGGTTCTCTCTTTTCGGTTTCATGTCAGTGGGAGGCTATATTTTTTATATATATTTCAGCCCAAATAACATATTGCACAAAAACATGAGAATCTAGGTGTCTACTGTTAAGGTAGACATTAAGAAGTTTACCAAATGGGCCAAGCATGGTGGCTCATGCCTGTAATCCCATCATTTTGGGAGGCCACGGTGGGAGAATAGCTTGAGCCCAGGAGTTCAAGACCAGCCTGGGCAATATGACAGGACCTTGACTATACAATAAGTCAAAAAAATTAGCTGATGTGGTGGTGCATGCCTGTAGTCCCAGCTATTTAGAAGACTGAGGTGGAAGAATCTCCTGAGCCCAGCAGTTGGATGCTGCAGTAGCTGTGATCATACCCCTGCACTCCAGCCTGGGTAACAGAGTGAGAATCTGACTCTAAAAAAATAAAATAAAATTTTTTTTTTTTTTCAGAATGGAAAGTTTTAATTTCTCTGCTTTCTATAAATGATAGAGGACAGTTATCTCATGTGTTGACATTTCAGCATATTACATTCTTGTATATTTCCACTTGTTTTTTATTGTGGGGTACAATTCATGGTTAAGTATACAGATGTTCATTGTGCAGGTACCCTTGTTATCGGGTGTACCCCCCCTTCCCCAGTCAGTTTTCCACTACTGCCAATCCCACACCCCCCCCCACACTCCCCACAGTTTCCCTCTACTGTCAGTCCTTTTCTTACAGTATTATGATAGTTGTTCAAGGTCCACTTATGAGTGAGAACATGTGATACTCAGTCCTTTTGTTTCTGTGAAAGGTCACTCAGTATTATAGACTCTAAGTCCATCCAGGTTGCTATGAAGTTCATGATTTTGTTCTTCTTTATGGCTGTGTATTATTCCATTGTGTGTATGTACCGCATTTTTTTTATCCAGTCCTCTTTAGATGGCCAGCACAGTTGTTTCCATGTTCTTGCTATTGTGAACAATGCTGCGATAAATATAACATGTGCAGGTATCTTTTTTATAAAGTGATTTGAGTTCTTCTGGGTATATTCCCAGTAGGGGGATTGTGGGGTCATATGGAAGGTCGATTTTTAGAACTTTCGGGAATCGCCACACTGCTTTCCAAGAGGCTGTACTAGTTTACATTCCCACCAACAGTGTAGAAGTGTTCTCTTTTCACCACATCATCTCCAGCACCTGTTATTTTTTGAGATACTGATGATGGCCATTTTCATTGGAGTTAGGTGGTATCTCAGTGTAGTTTTAATTTACATTTCTTTGATGACTAGTGAGTCTGAACATTTTTTCATGTGTCGGCTGCTCATATGTCTTCTTTTGAGAACTGTCTATTCATATCTTTTGCCCACTTAGTAATGAGGCTGTTTGTTTTTTTCTTTTCAGCATGTTTGAGTTCCTTGTAGATCCTAGATGTTAGACCTTTGGTAGACATAAAGTTGGCAAATATTTTTTCCCAGTCTGCGGGCTGTCTCCCTGCTCTCTTGATGGTTTCTTTGACTTTGCCAAAGCTTGTCAGTTTGATAATGTCCCACTTGTCTATCTATCTCTTATGGCCTGGGCACTTGGGATTTTGATCAGGAATTGGTTGCCAGTTCCAATTTCCATAAGAGTGTCTCCTGCATTTTCTAAGGTTCTTATACTTTGAGGTTTTACGTTTCGGTCTCTGATCCATTTAGAGTTGATTTTTCTGTATGAAGATAGGTAGGGATCCTGTTTCAATCTTCTTCATGTGGTCAGCCAGTTTTCCCAGCATCATTTACTGAATAGGTTCTCCTCTCCCCAGTGATTGGTGGTAGAGGCTTTGTCGAAGACAGAGGTTGGTTGAGAAATTGAGGTTTTGCTTCTGGAATCTCAATTCTATTCCATTGGTCTATATGCCTGTTCTTGTACCAATTCCAGGCTGTTTTGATTATTGTAGCTTCATAATAAAGTTTAAAGTCTGGGAGTGATACCTCCTGCTTTCCCCCCCCCCTTTTGCTGAGGATTGTTTTGGCTATTCGTGGTCGTTTATGTTTCCATATGAATTATTGTATTGTTGTTTCTAGGTCTGAGAAGAATGTTGCCGGTAATTTGATGGGTATTGCTTTAAATCTGTAGGTTGCCTTAGGTAGAATGGATATCTTTTTATTCAAATCCTAAATATTTAATCCTTTATTTAGGCTTGAATTTTTAAATGTAAAAATGTATCAGCACACTTGGTTACCGATTTTAAGCAATATTGAAATATCACTGTATCAATCCTTATCAATTTAGTTCATCCATTTTCTTACACAGTAAACTTTTTTCTATCAGAATCCAACAGAAGAATAATACAAATCTCACTTTCTTTGTCATCTTTAAGCCAGGGGCAACCAGTCTCAACAATAACCAAAAAATATAGCTTTATGACTGGTAGTCTGTTTCTGCAGTAAAAATATTTTTCCCAGTAATCAATATTTGTTATCTGAGGAAATCCTTCATTGTTCTAGAAGCACAATTCGAAGCTCATCTTCTTTATTGATCATCATCAAAGCAATTGCACCATCATTAAACTCGAAAGTAGTTCCTCCATCAACAACCATACAGGCATCCCAACAACATGAACGAACACAGACAATACTGAGGACTGCTTGAGAAAACTCTGTTGCTATTGGTTCTCGAATACTGAAAAGTATTTTTGGTTCTTCTGGACTATAGAGCAGTGACTCATTATATTCATTTGCTACTTTCTCTACCAACTCTTTGTCCAGTGGAAGATTCAAATTTCCTTGTCGTTTTGCAATTATTTAAAACATCTTCCACAACCTGAGTTGCAACCCTGTTAATATTGAAGAACCTGGCCTTTGATCCTGTTCCAGTACACAAATTGAGTCCTGAACTCTTCTGTTTTTCCCACGGACCATCACCAACTGAAATCTCATAGTAGGAGACCCTAGATGATAGACTCTCCCCAATGACGACTGGCAGAAGCTGTGGTCCTAAAGCCTCAGACCTTTCATCAGGAGCTCTTTCAAGTTAAAGGCTCTGCTGTGTTGATTCAAGCTCAGTTGCTGCTCGTGAAGGTCCACAGGAACAGAGTTTATGCCAGTCCCTTCAAGGTATAACCTGATTTGCTGCCTCCATAACCACAGGAACTCACTACAAGAAAACTTCTGTAAGGCTTCTGGGAAGGAATATGTATATTGCACAGGCAGGCATAGATGACCCTCAGATGGTTCTGGATCAGTGTTTTCTCCTATAACTGGTTTAAGTTTGTCCAAGACTTTACATGCTGCCAGAAGCATTGTGCCATCACCTCCTGCAGCTGTGGTAGCATCTGCCTGTTGAACAGTCTCTTCATCATATTCTCTCCTCTTTACCAGACGAACCTCAGTTCCCTCATTCCGTAAACTATCTATAATGTGCTCTACATTTTTGATGTGAACATGATGTCATTCAAGAAGTCCACTGTAGCTAGAGCCTTTCAGTGCAAGCAGCTGCTTGAGGTCCTCCTCCAAGAGCTCCATGTAACTGTACCGCTGCTGCTTAAACTCATACCAGGTGGGTTGGCCACCACCACCACCTGCAAGGGGCAGAAGCTGCTGTCAGGGCGGCTGCCACAGCCTGCCAGCTGGTATGGCTGCCCATCCCCCAGGTGCCACTGGCCACCCTAGAATGGACGTCTTAACAATGTTGATTCTTCCAATTCATGAGCATGGAATACTTTTCCACTTGCTTGTGTCCTCCTTGATTTCTTTGAGCAGCGTTTTGTAGTTTTCTTTGTAAAGGTCTTTCACATCTCTGGGTTAGGAAGATACCAAGGTATTTCATTTTTTTATGGCTATTGTGAGTGGAATTGTGCTTTTTATTTGGATTTCTGTTTATTTATTATTGGTGTATGGAAATGTGATTGTCTTTTGCACATTTATTTTTTACCCTGAGACCATTTATTTTATGCCTTTGCCAAAGTCCTTTTATAAGTGCAAGTAGGTTTTTGA